CACAATTTGCTTCTCATAATAACTCTAACTGGCAAGATAAGCCAGAAATATCCACAGGCTACCTAAAAGGCAGAGACATCAGCATGCCAGACTTTTCTATCCACAGTCCATTCCCTCACTATCTCTGCTAATGTGGATTTTAATATATTTTAATGTATTAGTTTGCTCCATTCTTCTCAAAATCTATTTTTCAACATTTAATACATGTCCACCCAAAACCTATCTATTCTCCCCCACTGAATAAAAAATACAATGTTAGAACAAGTCAACATTCTATTTGTGCAGTAGTACATTAAACAGTGAATAACTAAGTTACAAAAGAAAATGGCAAATCTCTTCCCAAACATTAGATGGTATTGTCTACAATTTTTTCCATTTGGATCTGCTTGTGTCTGGTCTGAGGTACAGAATCAAAGTATTTACAGTAGGTTAAAATTCAAGGCCATATTCAGATTGCCATATTTTTTTGGCTATCAATAAATAAACAGAAATAAAACCATACTAGAGTTAACTTTTGTTTACAAACTAAAAAGATTCAAAGAAAAGAAACACTAATAGATTTAGTGGCTAAATAACATTTTTTAAAAAGGTAGGAGTCATCTGACTGACCCATGTTTCAAATTTTAAATAGGTCAAATTAAAACCAAAAATCTATTGATAATTAGGTTATAAGATCCTGGATAGCTGGCATATAGAAAAAAGCACAAAAACCTTTCAGAATTAGAAGTTTTATATGAACACACTTGACTATACCATTACATAAGCAAAACATAATGAAATAATTTCTCCTCAAGCAAAACATAAAAAGAAATAAATCCTTTTATATTTGTGGTTTGGTTCAACCATCTAAAAGCCTTTCTCAAAAGCTTTTTCCCCCTTTCCAAAAAAAGAGAAGTGTGAATGATAATGCATTACCAAATAATCAGTGGTGCCTAACTTTTCTTACATTGAAATCACAAAATAAGCTTAATTTGCTACTTGTACCTTGGTATAACGGGAAAACTTCTCTCAGATGGCTGAATAATTATCTCTGTCATATAAAACTTAGTGGTTTCTAGAAATAAAAAGAAGAAAATTAAGAATCTCCCCTTTACACCAATATTTTTACTGTGGGTATGTCAGTCCCAAATTATGACTCTCCCAACTAAATATTCAACATACACTGGTGAAACTAACATGCAGTAAACATTTCCAAAAACTACTTAGTTTCAGAAGACAAAACACTGATGACTACAAGGAGATAGTTCTGATGCTTCAGATAGTACAGTGTCTCTTTAGCAAACTATGCCCAAAGTGAACCTGTGGCGGCAAGACTGCTCACACATTTCAAAGGTTACAAAAATCAGTCATACCACAGTCATAGCCCACTTATGTAGAAATTAGTCACTGGATTTCCTTATTTCTATAGGATAGCTACAAACCTAGGAGTCATTGAAAAAGGCTTTTTAATCATAGTATCCCAAAGCCCAAGTATAGATGCTGTAAACCTCACATTAGTATTTAGTCAGAACCTCACTGACTCTATTAATGTACAGTTCTCATCTAATCTGGTTATCTGATTACTTAGTTTACAGAAAAATTTAGAGTAGACTAGATATTTAACAGACATGAATATAAATACAACCATCCTGAATTTTAAAAATCCACAATAAACGTTTAATTTAACTAGTTATGAAGGGAATGTGAATCAAAATGAGATATTTTTTAGCTTCAAACAAACTATTTTTAAATAAGGTGCAGCACTGGATAAGCTTTTGAGAAATCGATATGCTTACTCACATACTGCTGTGAGAACTGAAAATGATAGATTTGTGGAAAGCTACTTGGCAAAGACCTAAAATTGTATATTTACTTTGATACCATAATTAAATATCTAAGAATTTATCTCAAAGAAATACTAATGGATACATGCAAAAATTTATCTATAAAGATGCTTATAATAATATTAATAGAAAAGTACTGAATATAAATTAAATGTGTAAAAGTTGAGGATGGGTTAAATTAACAATTACATATTTAGGTGACAGAATTTCATGCATGTTTCAAATTTTAAACTTAAAAAATTTAGCTTAATTTTATCCCAGCTTAAAAATTCTTATAATTACATAGAACATAATTTAACTCTATAATTTAAATCCCACAGGTATTATTATTATTTTATATAGTTAATATTCACTTAGTGTCATCCATGTAATTACCACTTTCTTTACCAATCCTTCTTGAACTCAGTCCATCTATCTGGGATCATTTTCTTCTGTCTGAATACAGACAGAATTTCTTTTAATAAGAAACCACAAATGGTGAGTTATCCCACTTTTTGTTTGTCAGAAAATATATTTATCTTGGCCTTCATTCTTTTCTTTTTTTTCTTTCTTGGTGGCTGGCTGGTACGGGGATCCGAATCCTTGACCTTGGTGTTATAACACCACACTCTAACCAACTGAACTAACCAGCCAGTCCCTTTGCCTTCATTCTTGAAGGACATTTTCACTTGATATAATGTCCTAGGTTAAAAGTTATTTATGCACAGTGACACTATCATTCCACTTTCTTCAAACTTCCATTACTGCTGTTCCTTTGAAGGTGATCTTTCATTTTTCTTTGGTGGCTGTTAAGATTATTTTCTCTTTGCTTTTCATTCTGCAGCATTACTCTGATTGTGTATGTACAGATTTCTTTCTATTTATTTTACTTGAGCTTCGCTGAATTGGAATTCATTAGGACTCTTGAATCTGTAGACTGTTGCTCTTCATCACTTTTGTAAAAGTCTCAGCAATTATTTCTTCAAGTAGTGCCCATGCTCCACTCTTTTTCTCTTTTCCATCTGGAAGTCTCATTAAACGTGTCAGATCTTCTCAGTCTATGTTCTATGTCTCTTTCTATTCACTGTTTTTGCCTTCTGTCTGTCTGTGTTGGGTTACAGATTTTTCCTCTCATCTATATTCTGCTCATTAATTCTTTCTTCAAGTTATACCTGATCTGCTACTAAACTGTCCACTGAGTTTTTAATTTCAATTACAATGTTTTTTTTTCCTTTGAAATTCTATTATGGATATTTCCCAAATATACTTACCGTTACAGTTTCCTTTTCCTTTCAACTCTCTTCAAACCTGTCTCTTATATTGTTAAAAATACAAAGCATGGTTGATTTACCGTCATTCCAGTAAGAAATCTATTTCCATTGTTTGCTGTTTCTGTTAGTTCTTATTGATGAAAGTCTAGTTTACTTATGTGACCTTTTATCTTTGGTTGCACGCTGAACACTGTGTTTGAAAAATTATTGGTGGTAATAATATGAATTTTACAGTGAAGGCATTTCCCTCCAGAGGTAATTACATTTGATATTGACAGGCACCTGGTATTGTCTAGTCCCAGGCAGAGTAAACCAAGTTCAAGACTTGAAATTCCCTAAGTCCCTAAGGACTGATTCATTCCACAGGGCTGTTCCATTTCTGATTCAGCTTCACTGTGAAGGTATGGCCTGTAGGGTCTCATATTTTTGTGGAGTCAGTTACCTGTTAGGTTCCCCATCTTGTATAGTCGTTCATTTCTGTCCTTACTTCTCAAAGCAATCAAACACAAGTTCTAATTTTAGAAAACTGGTAAATTTCAGAGAAAACGTGGCTTGAATTTTGTGCTTACCTCTTCTGAATTTGCGTTTGTGGTGATTTATCCACATATTTTCTCTTTCTCTGCTCTTTATTACTTACTACGGACTCCAGTTACCATCTAGTATCTTTCACTTCAGCCTGAAAAACTTCCTTTAGCATTTTTTATAGGGCAGGTCTGCTACTAATATATTGTTTCCATGTATGAAAATAATACCCCTCACAATGAAGGTGAATCATAAATGGAACAGTCCTGTGGAATTATATCCAGGTATTTCTATGGAAACATCCTTATTTGCCTTTATTAATGAAGGATAGTTTTGCTGGATATAGCATTGTTGGCTGACAGTTCTTTTTTTCCCCCAGAACTTTGCATATCTTATTTCAATGTCTTTTGATGATCATTATTTCCATGAGAAGTCTGCCTTAATTGTATCATGAAATCCCTTTATAGAGTATAATGTTTTGTTTTTCTCTTGCCACTTCAAGATTCTCTCTTTATCTTTGGCTTTCAGCAGTTTGACTACAACATGCATGCGTGAAGTACTTTTGCATTTATCCTATTTGGGGGTTCACTGAAATTCTTAGATCTGAAAGTTAATATTTTTCACCAAACTTGACGAGATTTCAACCAGGTTTTTCGACTATTTTTTCCTGACTCTGTCTTTTTCTCCTCACCGTCAGAGACTCCACTTACACATTTGTTGAAACACTTAATATTGGCCCACAAATCTGCAGTTCTGTCCATTTTGCTTCAGACTTTTTTCTCTCTGTTCTTTGGACTGGTTAATTTTGTATTAATCTATATGTTCAATAATTTTTTACCTTCTGTCATCTCAAATCTGTGGTTTAGATCATCTAGTGACTTCTTTTCAGTTACTGTACTTTTCAACTCTAGAATTACCAAATTGTTCTTTCTTTGAAGTTTTCCAATTTGTGGAGATTTGCTATTTGTCCACAAAGGTTTTTTTCTTTTAATTCTTTGCCATATTTTGTCATATATTTATTATATATAATAGCTGCTTTGACATCTTTGTCTGCTAAATCCAATATCTGTGCTTACTCAGCATCTGTTTATTGAATTCTTTTTTTCCTTGAGTATGAATCACTCTTTTCTGTTTCTTTTCATGTCTAATAATTTTTGGACAGAAGCAGGACACTGTGTGTAACACACAGTAGCAACTCTGAATTTTGTTTTCCTCTTCTGTGGGTTGTTGGTTTATTAGTATAGAAATCCTTTAACTGACCTGGACTCAAACTGTGAAATATGTCTCCCCACAGTGTGTAGGCACTAACATCTCTGCTCAGTTTTATTTTGTTTAGTATGGCTCCCTAGAGAGTATGCACTGTACCTGAATAGGTTAGCTGTCAGCAAATAATTTGGGGAGAGGTTCTGCTCAAATACCTTGCCAGTAAGGCTTCTTAGAAAATTCACTTTCTACTGCCCAAATTGTGCATGGTTTGAGGAATGCAATCAAAGTCACAGCAAATTCACAGGTGCCCCTAAGCTTTCAATTCTTATTGAAAATACATACAATAGATACTCCCTGTCATCTATTGTGCATATGTAGAGTTTAGCAATCAAGGACAGTTGTGCAAAGATTTAGCAGTCAGTGAGAATCATGCGAAGAAATTATTATCTCAGCCTTTCTATAGACCTTTCCTTCCAAAATATCCTCCTTAAATTTCTACCTACTCTGCTACCTACCCTGAACCAAACCTACCACCTATAGACAGCAAAGCTGTGGTGTTTTCCTGCCCAAGTTGGGGAAGGGGAATGTGGCAAGACACCCACTCCCAGGCAAAAAGGTCACACATTTGCCATTCTTTCTCAATGCAGTAGTGGTTTTTCATGACTAAACCCTTCTCAAATTGTTGCTTCAGTTTGTTCATTTTTCAGTGCCCTAATACAATTGTTTTCAATAGTTTAACTTGTCCAGTTTTGTACTTGTTTTTTGTGGAGTGGATTTATCCATTTTCTTAATGCCACAATTTCTGGAAGTAAAGTCCTACTGATTTACTTTTAGAGTAGATGTGAATATAGCTTTCTTATACCACCAACCTCCTGTTCTCCCCTCCCTACTCACACTCACACATATTGACTTCCTAATATACTTATGTATTACACCATAATGTCTGGTTAAATGAATATTCACTGTTTACATTATTATGACCATAATGATACCATGGAGATGTTTCTTTTCTTTTCTTTTCTTTTTTTGCTGGCCAGTATAGGGATGAAACATAATGTCTGGTTAAATGAATATTCACTGTTTACATTATTATGACCATAACGATACCATGGAGATGTTTCTTTTCTTTTCTTTTCTTTTTTTGCTGGCCAGTATAGGGATGAAGACGTTTCCTTCCTTGTTCAACCATTTTTTTTCCTGCAGTAAATAATTGCTTTTTTTTTCATTTGTTTAGTTTTCCAAACACTTATAGCTAATTCTCCCCATGTGAAATGGCTTGTTTCAAGATTATTTGATACATGTGTTCAAACAAATCAATCCCACCTCATAACTAAAAGTCGTTACCACAATCTTCTCTCCCCTTGCTCCAATACAACTTGTTACTCTCTAGGCCTGCTGCAGACCCCTCACCCTGGGACTTCCTTACCTTGCTCTCCAGTATTGGATAACCTGGTTCCCCAATCCCACGTCATCCCTTTCGTGGTTAAATACCTCACTTTGGTGATATATATATCCTAGAGTAGATTCCCAGGGAAAGTATACTTTTGAGGTTTGTTTTGAAACTTTGTTATTTCCAATAGTGCATTTAGTTATCTTCATATCTGACTGACAGTTTGACTGTGTATAGAATTCTGGGTTGAAAATTTTTTTCCTTCCAAATTATGAAGGTATTGCTTCATTATCTTCTAGCTTTCAGCTCTGCTGTTAAGAAGTACAATACTATTCTATTCTAATTCCTAATCCGTTGGACACTTAATGTGCTTTTCCCTCTGGAAACTTCATCCTTGGTGTTCTGAAATTACTCAACAATGTGTCCTGGAGTAGATTCCCTGCCATCCCTCTATTAATTACACTGGGCATTTCAGGGGCCCTTTCAGTCAGGAAACTGAAGTCTGGGCTCTGGAAAATAGTCTTGTAATGTGTATTTGATATTTTTGTTCTTTGACAATGTCCTACACCCTACTGTCTTTAATCTTTCTTTCTAGAATTTCTATTAGCTAGATGTTAGATGTCCTGAAAGCTCAAATCACTCATTTATTCAACAAATATTTACTGGCTATTCACTATGTGCCAGATATTATTCTAAGCCCTGAGGTTATAGGGATAAATGAAATAGACAATAATCCTATCCTCAAGATACTCATATGACGACATATTTTTTATATTTATTTTCTAATTGTCAATCTTTGTCTTTTGGTTCTGATTTCTGGGATAGTTTCCTAATTTTATCTTCCAGTTCTTTAATTTCTTTTTGTAATCTATTACTTTTTAATTCCACATTCTCTAACTAATGGTGGCAATGTTATTTCATTTCCCCAAGGGAATCTTACTTTTTGTAAAGGTTTCTTCTGATCTATACGTAATTTGTTTCTTCTCAGTGCTTTCATGTTTGTATTTATTATTTTAATTCTTTTAATTTTTTAATCAAAAGAAAGCAGGAGTATTTACAGTGCTTTTAATCTGCTTGCTTGGTTGATTATTTCCTTTGATTTCTTTTATGTTAATTTCCACAAATATTTGGTGATTCTCAGCAATCCATTCATATTTAAGTGTAAGGCAATAAAGTGCTGAGAGGAAGCTGTTGGGTGCAGGTGCAAGGCTTGCTGACTGCAGCATGACTAAATAGCAGCTCATTTTTTGTTGAATGACCCCCAACATTCTGTGTCCACAAGTGTTTTCTCTGGTTGGTACCCTTCCATTATTCCAAGAAAGGGTTCTCTGATCTTGTACTTTGAGGACTGCATAAGCAATCTGAAAGTGGAGAGGGAGACCTAGGACTCGAACAGCTCTATATAAACTCTGAACTCATCATCCTGCTTCCAGGTCCTTGTCTCAGACTTGCCTTCCCTGTTACCTGCTGCCTCCAAATTCTGACCCATTCTGGGGCACTGTAATGAGTACTGGCTCACTCCTCACCTAAATAACCTGCTGCAGACACCTAGGCTGCAGCTTCCTCCACGCTGCCAAGATGTTCCAAAAAAACCTTGCTTATACTTCTTGTTTATATCCCTGCCATCTGCTCTCCACTTCTCTGTCTTTGTGGATGTACATCGTTTTACTCCTTAACTGACATTTTCACTGGGCTTTAGAGAAGAGAGATACCTTGCTTATACTTCTTGTTTATATCCCTGCCATCTGCTCTCCACTTCTCTGTCTCTGTGGATGTACATCGTTTTACTCCTTAACTGACATTTTCACTGGGCTTTAGAGAAGAGAGATAAGAATTTAAAAAACAATTCTTATTTAATTTTCTAAGGTGTGGCTTAAGGGGCTTTTATTCTCCAAAAATGAAACTGAAGATGGCATACTTTCCTACTACTCATTCTTCCTTTTCTGGTCACTCTAAGCCAGTAACTACTTCCAACACTCTGATGATTTAAAAAATAAACACAACCACGCTCCCCCCCCGCCCCCACACAACAAACTCAACATCCGCATCTAGCCCAGCAATGACCACCAAGCCACTGCTGGAAGCGCCCCAGGGTCCCAACCCGGGGAGGTGGGGGGCCGAGGGCTTCAGCCACACTCTGTAATATCCACATCCAGCCCAGTATGACCACTGAGCCACTGCCAGAAACACTCTGGGCTCCCAAGCTGGGGTGGTAGGGGGCAGAGAGCCCTAGCCACATACCCCTGATGTCTGCATCCAGCCTAGTGACGACCAAGCCACCACCTGAAGCACCCCAGGCTCCCCTGCCAGAATGAGGAGGGTGCCACAGGCCTCGACCATGCCCCCCTCCCTCTTTTGTCCTCCTCTTACCCTATCTCCCTCCCCTTTCCTCTCCCCCCAACTGCTCCACATTTTAGAATGCAAAAAATAATAATAGTAATAAATTAACAAACAACAAATACCACCATCTGCCTTCCCTTAAGTACAACAGCTTAAATTACATCTTCTAATTAATTAAATTAAAAGCAATTATTCATCGCCCACAAAGATAACACAGCATGTTGTAGCTCTCTCAACATTTGAAACCGTATCTATAAATAGCAATGCATTTTAATTATCAGGATTTTCCTCATATTTTAAAGTAGTATAACATAGAGTTTACATAAAATGTAATTAATGCTATTGAGAAAAAGAATAAGGAACAAAGTGCAAAAACCAGAACATGTTTTCTTCCATTTCAACAGGTCCTCTCCCACCCCCAGCCACAAAATACAGCAGGCAGATGGCAGCCAAGAAAAGAAACTTCACCTCTAGGTACCAACTCTTCTAATTGAGGAGTTGCATTAAGAAAAAAGCTCCAATATTCTTTAAGACAGATCCACACACAAGCTTTGCTATTGCTTTATATCTACAAAGAGGGTATGAAACACTGAAAATAACCCAATATTTTAATGCTTAAAACTCAATACTATGTACTTATAAAGGTCAAAATATACAAACTTCTTGTCATATCGGATGATATGTTAGTTGGTTTCTATTTTGAAACCAATAAGCCTACAATATATATTAATCATCTATCTTTCCTATATACTTACTGTGAGATCTTGTTCTAATTTTTAAACCAGAATGCAAACATTTCAGCTTTTGGTTATGAAATTCTTACCTGATGACATGGTCTCTCCCAACGTTACCTTGCAACGCTTACAGATTACTTTGGTATTTGCCTTTGGTTCCTGTAGAACAGAAAAATGTCACTTAAATGTCATTCAGCTTTTCTTAAAAGGAATATATAATTTTAACATGGTCCCCAGAGTATACACTGAACTTTACATTTTATTCTGCCCTCTACTAAATACTGGAAATACATTTAGCTTGTGTGCATAATTCACATGCACAGGGATAATTTCTTTCCAAGTCTTATGACAGAATAATGCATGAACTTTCTAAATTTAGCCACTTCTTGATAATCCAAATGTTACCAAATAATTTGAAAAAGAAGTACCTTAGATTTCTAAAAAGCACTTCCAAATAACCTATAATTAAGAACAGGCAGATGGTGAGCAACAAAGGCAGAGGGGGTTGATGACTTGCCCCAACTCATGTGTACAGAATACAAAAGAATCATAACTGGAACTGATATTACTTTCACTCCTACTCTGGTGTAATTTATACAAAAGTAACCTATAACTCATAACCACCCATAATAGGGTTGATGACTTGCCCCAACTTATGTGTACAGAATACAAAAGAATCATAACTGGAACTGATATTATTTTCACTCCTACTCTGGTGTAATTTATACAAAAGTAACCTATAACTCATAACCACCCATAATACAGAAGTTAAAATTTCTAACCTGTTCATAATTCTATTTTTTCCATTTAAGATATGCACTATAAATGAAAAAACAGTGTTCTGGAGCAAATTCCTGAAACATTCCTAAACTTTGTAACTTCAAACATTCACAGACTTCAAAAATCCAAATTCATTATTTGGCATATATATTAAAATAACTAAATTTATCTAATCACTAAACAAAGAATGCTCCTTCTTACAGCTATAGTAATACTTTTGCTAAAGTCATACCACGTTCCTCTTACTCAGATATTCCGTATGATGGCAGAAATCAAATAAAAGTGAGCAGGCAAATGGAAGTTCTGCAACTCTGGACACTTGAGTCTACCCTTCCTGGGAAACCATAGAACAGAGTGCCAGTCAAAGTGAGAAAAGGACAGTGACTTCCTGATATGGAATAACATATGTAATAATTTAAGGAATAAGTCTTCACTGATATGGTAAGCTTGAGAATAATTATTTCCCTTTGCATAAATAACTATTCCCTGAAAAGTTGCATAAGAAGCATGTTTAAACTGATGTCTATGAATGTACTGCTAGTAAGTGATAGCATTCATGTTTGAATCTACATCCCTCAGATGCTAAAGCTTCTGCTTTTAAGCACTAAGTCAAGTGTTTTCCAAACTACTAGTCACATGCCATTAGCGGGAACCAATTCATGGAATCTATTTGCCTGCATTTAAAAAAAAAACAAACAACAGAATAGAAAATATGACAGAGCTTCAAACAACAGGTAAGTATTGCTTCAGGAAACTTTTACTTGAGGTGTGTTTGTTTATATGTGCATATTTGTGCAAGTGTGCTTGATGTAAAAGCTTTCTTTAGTCAGAGGTCAAAAAGTCAAAAGCAACTGGACAACTCATACAGGGGTCTTTCTCTATGACTCATTCTTTCACCCAGCCTCAAACCCATGCTACTAGTAAAAACTCCATAAATGCCCCACAGCTCTTCCCCATGAAGAACTCCTGAGTTGAATCCCTTCACATACTGAAGAAAACTTTGGTAATATAAACATCTCATTTTCCCTAGTTAAGTGCAGGAGTTGGACAGATTCTCCAGTCTTTCTCTAAAAGTCTCTGCTAACGATACAAAAAAAACCACACACGAGCTCTGTAAGTCAGCTCAAACCTGGCTTAAACATTTATCCAGACATACTAAGAGAGTGTGCCATCTCTGGCCACTGCACTGACATTCTTATATCCAGCACATCACAGATAGCAGGTCTCAGAGCCTGGCCAGGCAGGTGACTGGATGGGGTCATTCCCATCAGTGTAATAGACACAGCAACCAAGGAAAGTGCCAATTTGTTCAGGTCTAGGAAAAGGAGAGTTCAGAAAGCAGATACGGTTGACTGTAAAGGTTGACATTTCGGCAGTTTCATGCTTTTTTACAGAAAAAAACACCCAAATGGCTCCAAATTGGTCTAAAACATATTTTTAAAAGGATTCTATTTTGTACAAATTTGACTACCCTTATTCAATCTTACCAAAAACTAAGAGCCTTCACTAAAAACTAATATAGAGTGTTGGAATATAATGATTGAGAAGAAAGGATTTTCTATTCAAAGCAGAATTTTTTTTTGTCAGGTGCTCTGTTATATATTTCATTTACAATTGCTCTCACAGAAAATTTCATTTTGTCTTTCAAGGAACCAGGAAAAGTGGTTTTTTGTTTGTTTTAAAAATAAGATTCTACCCTTACCAGGTATGGGTAATCGAGATTTAAAAATCTGATCGAAAAAGCAAATTACCTCAAACAACCAAATGTGTGGATCTTGATTCAAAAAAACTTACAGTAAGATATTTTTAACACAATTGGTAAAATTGGTATAGGTCCTAGTATTGTATCACCAAGTAATAATTGTTAATTTTATCAGGTATGATAACGACAGTGTAGTTATGTTAAAAAAAAAAATCCACATTTTTAGACATACATACTGAAACATACAGGGATGAAATTACATGATGACTGTGATTTGTTTTAAAGCACTTCAACAACAACAAAAAAGGTCAGATGAAGCATACTTGATGAATCTAGATGACTGGCATATTGAAGTTCATAATAATATTCTTTTTATACTTGTAAATATTTATAAAGCTCAACAACACATTTTTCTAAAAAGACAAAAAAGACACATTTATGGATTTAACTAAACAAACAACCAAAAATCAATAACCAGGAAAGAAAAAAAAAAGGAAAAGCGTTCGTCATACTTGCCAGCAACAATATAATAAAAGTTCAATTTTGTTTGCTCTTTAAAAAATAGAATGAAGTTATAAGTATGGCTATACTTACTAAGTCTTGAATAATATAATGGATCTTACAAAAAGTTGAGGTGACGTCATTACCATCCTATTATAAGATGTAAAATTTGTATTACGTTGGTAGGCACATACTGCTGCATTGACAGAGGCACAAATAAATAAACTCTTAAAATTTGTAGTATTTTAAGTCTAAGAGCTATTGAAACAACAGAACAGTATCGAGCTTTAGGTTTGTGCTGTTTTTAAAATCTGATCGTTTTAATTAAAAAATTCTAACACATTAACTTTGTTTAAAGAGAACCTCTACTTTGCAATGCATTTTTCTTGACCTGTGTTTCACAGAAATAACAAAGCCAGTTATGCAGTGCAGCAGCCTGACAGTGTGGGAACTCTACAGAACAAACCTCGAAGACAGACACTGTTGTGGACTAATTAAATCGATATATCTGAGAGATGGCAGGGCTGCTCAGAGAGGTGGATTAGTCTCCTGTCTTCATTTTTATTTTCCTTTGTGTTGTTCAATTTCTAAGGACCCTTAATATTGTCTCACCAAAAAAATGTTTCCCAAGAGATACCATTAGGATGCTGTGTCACCATGTGACATTTCAAAACCCTGCTAGATGGCTAGACTGGATGGTATGAGAAATAGGTTTCCAATAGCACAGAGCAGCCTTGTTCCCACAGGGGCCTTGAGAGCACTGTTTAAGCAGTCCCTCCAAATTTATGTTACTATTTTGGTCACAGGCACACTCAACTGCTACAATATGCAATTAAAGTGAAACTTCCATCTAAGCTAACTTGAAAACAATCTTGTCAACAGCAGCTTGTCATGATAATAATTTCCCAGTCTCCTTGACACTAAAAACTATAATGTCTAAATATAAAGGGTCTTCCTTTAATGCATAAGATGGTTGTTTACAATGAAGAGAAACTCTTGTAAATGGCATCATATAACTAAGATGTAAATTGAAGAACACATTTCAGCATACGGTGAGGAGTTTATCTAAAAAGGGAAACGTTTTCTATCATTTAATCTTTTTCCACTCTTTTTCTGCACATACCTCTCAAAAATTTTAAAAATGTATAGCCTAATCATAAAAATGAAAGTTAAAACATGTAAAAATACTAAAGCATTAGTATATAAATTAGATTAAAATATAAATTTAATATAATTGTATTAAATATAACACAAATTTATATTAACTTCTTACCTTTATCTTTTAAAAATAATGCTAAAGTACTACAATTTAAACGTAAAAATACTAAAGCATTAGTATATAAATTAGATTAAAATATAAATTTAATATAATTGTATTAAATATAACATAAATTTATATTAACTTCTTACCTTTATCTTTTAAAAATAATGCTAAAGTACTACAATTTAAAGTGAACCATATTTACATAGAGATTTTCATTCATGATAAGAGATAAGGCACTTAAATAATTTTAAATGACAACAACTTAACCTCAATACTTGATGAACTTCCTTAATCTCCCTTAAAAATAGTTCTATAAACTAATTTGTAACCTAAGAGCTGCCCAACTGCTGCACATTTCCTGTAGTAGCTCAGTTCTTATTACAAAAATTAAATGAGCTATAAAATTAAAAATACATGGCTTCTGTTCCCACCAATAATCGGATATAAAAATGGAGATTCTCTAGCAATGGTTTTCCTTACTTTTTAAATCACATCTGTATTGACGGGGTATCAAGGGAATGACTTACCACAAGGGCCAAGCCAATGCCATTGATTTTCTTTTAAAATAAAGTAAAACACTTGTTCTCTGCAGGGAGAGGAAATTGCTTTCTCCTAAAGCACCTTCTATAGCAAGAACCATCTGACCCCACATTATCAAGCACCAAGTTCTACAGACGCTGTAGAATGAGCTTTATTTCCATTTCTGGACTCCTCAATTTTCTCTTTTTCCTTGATGGCATCTGCCTTTATGACATCAGCAGAAGTCTAGACTACGGGCAGACACAGTAAAACACCTAGGCATAATTGTATAGTAGATATCCTGAAGCAAGAGAACACTTAATTTAAATCAGACTATTAAGGATAAAATGCACAAAAGCTATGGAATATTGTCCTAAAAACAAGAAAGTACGGCATTTGGTTTGTAAAGTGATAGCACTCCCAATCTGTGCATGAAGAAGTTCTCTTCTCTTTATTCTTTCAGCCCCCTGTGGCTGTTTTACTTTAAGGTCATATGCTCTTCCTGTATCAATAGAGCAGAGTTGGAGAAAAGAGAGCAATTGAAGATAACGGACTTGGGCCTTTAGAACAGTCTGTGTAACAAACCCTGAATTAAGAAAAGATTAGAGAAACCAATATCTAAGCCAACCCCTAAATTAGCATTTTCTCCAAAAAGATCTTTTACCAATTTAAAATGGTTCTCAGAAGAAATAGAGTACATCTCCCCTAGGGCTGGTTCAGGTCTGGGCTGCTGCAAATTGCTTCTTAAATTCACCAAGAAGAAAGAGTCTCCAATAAAACAGTCATTCTCTTGAGGATGAAGTGGCTTATTAGCAAAGGGGTCAGGATGACAGCACCAATCTTCAACCAGAGCTCCCCAGTTCTCACTCGGCAGTGGGAGCACCCTGAGGAGCTTCCTAGTGGAAAGAAGAAAAACTATTTTTCACAGAACAAAATGAAACTAACTTTGTCTTAATTAAATCAGCATAAAACATGGAAGAAACTCATTAACGACATGATTCGCAATGTTAATTTCTGTTTTCCCAAAATATACCAGTAATATATACTCACTATAGGCAATTGTGAAATGCAATGAGGTACAAAAAAAATATAAAATCATTCTTTTCTCACTATGCAAAGATAAATAACTACTTTTCACATCATGGCACAATTCTTTGCCATCCTTTCAAAAGATACATTTGTACATATGCACATGGAGTCTGGGATCAGAGGATCTACATAAACTCTATCTTCCTTTGTTGTTTTACTTAGTTATATCATGATTCTTTTTTTTTTTTTGTCCTTTTTGAGACCGGCCGCACCACGCTCAGCCAGTGAGTGCACCGGCCATCCCTATATAGGATCCGAACCCAAACCCACGGCGGGAGCGCCGCAGCGCTCCCAGCGCCACACTCTCCCGAGTGCGCCACGGGCTCGGCCCTATATCATGATTCTTAATGATCCACAATATGCTATTCCATAGGTACATCAAAACTTTTTAGATCGGGCCAGCCCGTGGCTCACTCGGTAGAGTGTGGTGCTGATAACACCAAGGCCACGGGTTTGGATCCTATATAGGGATGGCCGGTTTGCTCACTGGCTGAGCATGATGCTGACAACACCAAGCCAAGGGTTGAGATCCCCTTACCGGTCATCTTTAAAAAAAAAAAAAAATTTTAGATCATTCCCATACTGTTAGATATTTAGGTTTGAGTTTTTCATGATCAGTAATCCTATGATGAATATTTCTAACAGAAAATTTGTGTACATATCTGATTATGTTCTTGGGGAAAAAAATCTTGTAAGTGTCAGCATATAAGCAAAAATGATACGCATATTTGTAAATCCAACACTCATTTGGTGAACTTCTTTCCAGAAAGGCTATACCGATCTATAATTCTTCCACTTACCCTTTTCATAATTGAATACTATCATTTTTCCATCTTTGCACAAGTAATGGGTAAAAATATTCTCAATGCTGCTTTAATTGGCAACTCAAAGAGTTGAACTGGTGAGACTGAACTGATTTTCCTATTTATTGACCATTGTGTTTCATGAATTATGATCAAGACTATTTTCCAGTAATAAATGATCATAACAGAGCAATGGTTCTAAACTCTTGGGAGCAGAGGGAATTAAAAATCTGATGAAAGCATTAGCCCCTTTCCTCAAAAATATGTTCCCACAAGCACACAAAATCTGCATATTACTTTAGGGGATTCATGGATTCCCCAAAACCAATCCATAAATTCAGGACAATATACACAAAATGCTATGGGAGTAGACTGTACATGGACTTCAGGGAAGAGGTGACATCTGAGCTGGCCTTTGAAGGATAAATAGTTATATAGGCAAAGAAAGGAATTAGGGCATCACAGAAGAAACAATATGAAGGCTGGCACCATAGCTGTTTATCTTACTACTATATTCTTAGTGTCTGGCACAGTTCCTGACTTATAGTGTGAGCTCTCAAATATTTGCTGATGGAAAAAACTAGAATATTTTGATAACAATAACATGTGAGGCCCCTTGTTGGGTCTTTTCCATACTGGGATGAAAGAGTTAACAAGCCTTTTCCCTTGCTGCTTGAGAATCTGACCTTTGGTTTAACTATCTAACTCTGTTACCCTGGAAACCAGGTAAGATCATAGGCATCAACTATATTGCTAGGCAACACTGCTTACAGTAAAAATGACCCGTGATTGGTAAATTGCATCTGGACTGGGAAGAACTATAAATGAGCTGTAAATATCTGATAGGAATGCCACACTTTGGGCATCCCTGAATGCAGTCGCTTGTGGGGAACTCTAGAAACCATGTCAAAGAATTGTTACAAGAGACATTGGCTGCTTAGGGCACTAGGCTTCCTCTAAGCCAGGGCAGCTCCCATACCTCCCTGATGTAGATCTTGTGCTTTGTACCTAGAACCATGTCATGAGGGGAGACAAGGGTCCCCAGATGGGTATGTGAGCTGTCACTTGCATGAACTGCTACAGAGCCACCGCTGAGAGGAATTCTTGGTGTTGCCTTGCTGGCAAGCTGGCAAGAAATACAGCCTGTGGTACTCTTGTGAGTCCAAACATTTAGTTGAATTTCAGAAGACCCCTGGTGGGCACTACTCACACTTTATTCCATCTGATGCTCACAACAACTTGGTGAGACAAGAATTACCCTTCCCCTGTTACAGAGGAGGAAAGTAAGGCTCAAAATTGCTAAATACAATCAGTAAGCTTTATGGTGACGGTTAAAATGTCTTACAAATTTCAAATAAATGTATTCAAGTCCAAAAAAAAATGTTAAATAATCTGCACAAGTTCACAGTATCAAAGGTGGTGAGTGATGCCCCAGTTCTTCCTGGTTCTAAAATGAAACTTTTCGCTTCGAATAGTCCCTCCCCTGGCAATGCAGAACAGCAGTGGACAAGACTGGGCAGGTGCGATAGTGGCAAACTGTGTGGGGTGTCATGTGTCATGCTAAGGGGTGGGGACTTGGTCCTACAGAGAGGTGGGAAGCATTAAAGAACTTTAAGTGGGGAAGTGACAGATCATATTTGAATTTTTACCAAGAAGAGAAAGAGGGTAACAAGTTACCTGTTTAGAGTAGGAGTTAGGGATAAATAGGCTCCTAGACCTTCTCTATCACAAGATTATCTGTCTCCTGACATTTTGCATGGGGTGCCAATAAACAGACGCTCAATATAGTGCAAAGAACAGCAATGTCAAAATCCCATATGTTAGCAAGGAAAATGAAACTGCACCAAGATTTACAGAGATCTGGGAGACTAGATGTACGTTAACACAAAATATAGTATTTCAAACTTGACTATATATCATAGTGAATAAAAGCGATAATATATCCTATAACCATCTACATAAGACATTGGGACCAAGAAAGTGCCTAACTCACAAGTCACTGCAGAGATAAAAAAGGGTTTTTACAGCAGAAAAATATTTTTTGATGTTTTGAAAAAAACATAAAACCTTTAAGAACAAAAGATGTATTTTAATCATAGCTCTACCGAAAGTATATATATCTAAAACCCTGAAAAGTATACTTTGATATGATCTACTTCCCAAGAGAACTTTCAAAATGAAATAGATATCATTTTTTCCAAGGTAGTTTTTAGGTAAAAATCTGCTGGAACTCAGAAAAAGAGTGAAACGATTTCTTGAATTTTCTCTCAGCTTAAGATTCTATGATGAACAGCCACATGTGTTTATAAGAAATTAAAATTTGCTAGTTATTTTTAATGCATCTTGAGCATAAACTCTTGGGAAAAAATAACTTTAAATAAACAACTTTACTTTTTATTTTTTTAAATAAACAATTTTAATACAGGCTATAGAATGATGATGTTTTATTTAATACTTTAACACATACCACATACACAAGAAAATGAAATGCCCCTTAACTTTAAAATCAACTATTAATCAATGATAATGAAAATGGTAAAAACACAGAGCTTTTACAGACTGGATTATAGCCAAGTGGACATTAAGAATCTTAAGAACAACATCAAATATCTAAAGCTCCAAATATGGCTGCTGGAATTTAGATAAATTTGGGTGAAATTCTCCAACTAGTAGGCCACAAATCCTATAAAACTAGCTTTGTATTTTAATATTATGTACATAATATGATCAGATCCATAAAAGTTTAATTTTATTCCGGAAGTTTGTACAATGTTACCAATAGTCCAGTTTGTGCCTACACTCTTTTTTAATCTCTTTGTTCTCTTTCACAGAAAAGTGACTGTATTCACAGGAGTAATTATTTTCAGAATACAATTATAGCTGGTCTGCCAAGTGGACCAATCAAGTGGTTGGATATTCTGACATCTCATATTTCCATAAAGCCCATCCTGCTGGTTTTCTTCTAGAGTTTCAATGACCTCATGAGCTCTGGGCTGACACCTTGCTCTGCTGGTACAGATGGAACAGGGAAGACTAGTCCAGAGACCTCAGAAGAGCACTCTGACTCAAATGGTCTTAAAATCTAAAGGCTTGGGTATGAAAGTCTGTTTGGTCAACTGATGTCATTCAAGCCTGACATGAATTTATTTCTAGACGACATAACAAATTCCAAACACAATGGCCATTTGGCTGTTTCTGAGACTATTCACAAAGCAGTATATTTTATTATTGTTGTTTGATATTAGGGCCTGTTAGTCTCAACAAGAACATAATCAAAAATTGTATATACTCAGACAAATTTTATAGAAACACTCTGCTGGTTTGGTAAAAATGTAAATTGGAGAATTTTATTGTAAAGAAGCAAGGCATTATTTATTTTCAAATAACCAAAACAAACAGCTAAGAACATGTGGTCCTAAATTAAAAAAAAAAAAAAAAGGCTGTTGTAATTAGCAGATGCTGAGCCCTGGTGCTACTAAGTATTAAAAGCCATTAATGAGTCTTACTGGGTTAAATTGTCCTCTGTACCTTATTTCTGTAATATTTGCTTGACAAAATTAAATTTAAAAGAACATTAAAAAAAAGTGTTAGTCTTGCACCATCCAAATAATCATCAGTCACAGAACTCCAAAGTACAACTTTATGAGGTTCACTGATCAGAGAATTTTCATGCTGATGGGACTTTACAAGTTTTCTAATCCATCTGCCTTATTTTATAGACAAGGAAACAGAGGCCTAGGAAATTAAAGTAAGTCATTCCCAGATAACAAGGCTAGCCGGTAAGTAGATCTTAACTCCTCTCCACTGCTCCTGTTAGAAGAACCCCCAGAATAGATAAATCAACATATTCCAAGGTACCTTCTTGGGAAACATGTTTACAATTAGTTGATTTTGGTTATAGCACATACAAACCCTTTTGAAATGCCTTTGGTCTTGTTTTCTATTTAATGGGCACAGAAGTTGTCCTTACTACTCACATAAAACAAGTAACTGAGGGAGAAATG